GATGAACTTGTGTTATTATATTATGCTGTAAAATGTAAAAATAAGTATTTCCAAAAAAAATCAATTTAATAATCAATTTAATAATCGTGGAAAAGGAAATTTTTGCGAGAACTGCAAATGTTTCTGAACGACGACCGTAATGGCGCATGATCTCAGATAACAATAATTCTCCAGAATAACGCTCTTTAAAGCGTTCGTGCCGCGATTCCCAACATCCGTTTCCACAAATCGAGTTCGCAACCGTACCAAATCATTTGGAACAATTCAATTTGTCCATCAGGCTCACTCATGTAGCGATTCGAAAAGAATTATGACGATCAAAGCGATTAGATCGTGAAATCGTATCGCTAACGATGCTCGTCGATCATCTTTTACGGTAGAACGGAATGAATGAGGGGTGGGGGAGAGAAAGTCTGAAACACGCGCAGGGCGGGTTGTTGTAGATAATGATAGACTGAATGAAAATTTCAGGGAGCCGATTGCAGCAAGAGTGTGTGCCCGGTTCTGTGTTCGTCTCATGGACAATATGGAGGCGGTATGTGTCACTGCGAGGACGGCTGGAAAGGTGCCGAATGCGATATACCATTAGGAGACTGCCAAGTTCCTGATTGCAATCAACATGGGCAGTGCGTTAGGGGATCGTGTGTCTGTAATCCTGGTTGGAAGGGCGCATTCTGCGATGAACGTAAGTTGAAACTCTATCCAACTAATTGTCTAATAACTGTTTATTCCAAACACATTTTAATTTCTATTTGACTCGGAACAAAAATAATCTCCATTGTGCAACTTAAATTTCCTGTAGTGAAACTATCTATTATAAATATAAACAGTCTTATTGGCGAAGAAGAGAGAATAGGTAAGAATAAATAAAAAGAGTGAACACTGTGAACAGCAAAGTTCAGTTAAGCGAACGATCCGTGTCTGATTTAGATTTTTACTAACGACCCCTTAAGAGCGATTCTTTAACCGGCTTCTCACTCGCCCTCGAGTTAAGAACGTTCTATAAAACTGAGGCGAAAGTTACTTTCTCCCCTGTGTGAGTATGGTTGGAACAAGTTATACGAGTACTACATGCACGCGCTCGTAACTCCGATGAACAAAATTGACGTCATAAAACAAAGAATTTATTAATCATCGCGCATCACCGTAACATTGTTCTAATTATTCTTTACATTATTAAATTTTCTTTCTAAGAAAAGTACATATTTACGTTCTATTCTATTCTACGAAATATCAAATTTTAATACTCAAACATTAAGAAAGAAAAAGAATTGTCATGGGACACGGAATTTAAATGTGCCGTTAAAACGCGACAGATAATCCAACTTTTGAGTTCATTAACGGCGACATTGTGCTGAGAGCGGACGCAACACCGCGTGCCGTATTTTAGCGTTAAAAATGAGCAGCGGAAACGCGAGAGCGAGAACAGTTCACGAAGGGACCGTTTACCTCCCGACGTCTATTTCTGCCGTCGGATGTTGTTTCTTCATATTTGTCACGCCGCCATTAATTTCCCCATAATTCAACCATACGTCCTTCTCTCTCCGGCGGACAGCGAATCAAGATATTAGTGATGCACATACGCCAAGCGAGCACATACCCCTCCGTGTCTCTGTGTGTGTGAGACCTATAATTAATGCACGTACTCTCGTTGAATTTACATATGGGTCAGCCATCGCGACAATTCAACCGGACGATTAGTCTCGCGCTGCTTCATGCTTGTTTTAATTCTTCCGGTGAGAATCTTGGCTTGGTTGTGATTAACAGTCATGCTGACAATGAAAACGCTGAATATGTCTGAACGTACGTTCATTCCATCTAATTTCATTGAAAAAATAAATTTTTTTTAGTAAGAAACGTTGTGACAGGTCCGTTGAAACAAAAGTTAAGCGTTTTCAGAAAGTACATGTCTTTTAAAAATTTATTCATTCAACGTTTAACATCTCAAGGGATAAAAAATTTGAATTAAATGCTTTGAAAGCGTTCCTTGTTAGACCTGTTCCGTGGAAGCAAGAACGGAAAAATGACGTTGTTAGAACGAATGGGGAAATTATTCGCGGGAAAGGGGACGCTTTGTCTCTGACACTCTCACGATTTCATCGTGGCGCATCCTTCCCATTCATTTTTCAACGGACGATGGGGTATTCGTTTTACATTAACGTTGAATACTTATACCGCGATCGAGGACGCATTTGCTTGCTGATTAGGTCACGCGAATTGAGAGCAACCGAGAAATCTATAACATGAAAACGTTACATTATGGAATACGATTTTGCGTCATTATCAAGGATTTAAAATAAGTACGATCCACTTTACTGTCGACCTTTATTAGGTCTGATTTTAATCTTACAGATACTATATCTTCCATGAAAGGAGGACAAATGTACTTAACCCCATGACATACAGTGACGTCTAGGAGACGTCATTCGTTCCACGTGCCATTATAGATTTTGACGTCTCCGAGACGTCAAGAACTTAACTAATATTAATTAGTAATAGAATTTAAATAGTATTTTTCGGACGCATCAAATTCTACTTTATTTGTATGTCAAGGGTTTAAGTTAAAAACATTCGCTTCTAGATTTTCATAAATATTCGATATAATAACTTGTATTTGTCCATTCTGGATTGCTACATCGATATATCGCGACGGTATACATTTTTTTCACGAGAATGAGCAAAATACTTATGAGAGGTGACGTATAACCGGTCCCGCGGCACACGAGGCGGATAGCGCAGAGACGCTTTGGAATTAAGTTTCATAATTTCCCCGGGGCAGCTGGGATCCGCGGGAATAATGCAATTGTTCCGATGCCATAATTTAAAAAGTTGGCCCATTCGTCGGTGCCCAGGGCGCAATCATCCGGCAACTGACTCTTCTGCGACCTCTTTCCGGAAGATGTTTCATGTTCTTGAAAACAATGCTAAGTACATGTCACCGAGTTAAGAGTTTCTCTTTCGAAGATGCAAAGATCTCCGACCGAAATAATAATTAAACTGTTAAATGTAATGGCTGTCGTCGTTTCATATTTTCTCTAGAAACTAGTATCATTTTCTTGAAATTCAAATTAATTATAAATTCCAGCCGACTGTTCCGATCCGAACTGCAGCGGACATGGAGCCTGCGTCGCCGGAAAGTGCTATTGCAAAGCAGGTTGGCAGGGAGAAAAATGCAACCAGGTCGACCAGCAGGTATACCAATGTCTACCCCGTTGCTCGGACCACGGAACGTACGATCTCGAATCCGGAAGTTGCGTATGCGAGGGACACTGGACCGGCGTAGATTGTTCGCAACCGAGCTGCGGTCTCGACTGCGGACCACACGGAACCTGCGAACAGGGTCTTTGCAAGTCAGTAAATTTCAATTCATTTAAATCATTCATCATGCACAAAAATATTTTCGTCGCGTTTAAAAGACAGTTAGAAGAAGTAGTAGGAAAGAATTTCAATGTTCCTTAAAAGGTGATAGCTAAAAATGACTAAATTGCCGGGAAGATCGGAGTCGTGAAAATCGAGGCTAAGAAGGTGAAAAATTGCGAGAAAAAGGCGATATCTTAGGGTGGTTGTCAACTTATCGCGACTCGAAGGACCGTCCTCCCTTTCCGGCGCGGCATCCCTTTGTCAGAATCAAGAACGCGAGAGAGGATCCCTTTTCTCATATTCTAAAGCTGACGCCTCTCTCTCTCTCTTTCTCTCTCTCTCTCTCTCTCTCTTTCTCCCTCTCGTTCAGTGAAAGAGCGTCTCTAAGTGCAAAAAGTTCCCTGCGCCAGGAGTTTGAAACTGAACTGAACCCGTGTCCCTCTCTGCTTTTGTCGGGAGTTCAATTTTGCTTCAGCCGATCAAGATCCGCGCATTCTTCCTAAGGGATCGAGCAAAACACAGCAGAACATTGTACCAAATTGAAACCGTAGCCGAGGGAGAGCATGAAATGAATGGAAGAAGACCAAACGAAAAAAATAATGAACGCGATTGATTAGGGACAAATTCTTATCTTATAGATGCAACGATGATTGGACCGGAAGTAAATGCGACCAGAAACCATGCGACCCACGCTGTGCGGAACATGGTCAGTGCAAGAATGGAACCTGTGTTTGTAGTCAAGGATGGAACGGAAGGCATTGCACACTGCGTAAGTAGAATTTTAATGATAGTCATGTATAGTTGAAAACGAAGCAAACTCAAGGAGTTCCGGAGTTCAGATATTTATTAGAGTAATGTTTCTTATTTATCGTTAGTTTTGTATATCAGTTCAACTCGAGGGGTCAATTAACTCGTGCCTGATATTTTTCAGTGAAAAAATTATTTTTCTCTTGGCACGATATATTTTACCACGATATCACGCGTATCATTAATTCTGGCAATGGGGAAGGGAATATCGGTTTTCAATTAGCTTCGATCATTGGTCGATATCTTGAGTTGGAACATTTCACCCCGTTCTCTTTGCAGCCGGATGCGAGAACGGGTGCAGCCGTCACGGTTTGTGCACCTTGCAAGATGGCGAGTACAGTTGCGAGTGTTCGACCGGCTGGGCAGGCAGGGATTGCAGCATACGACTCGAAATGGAATGTAATGACTTTATTGACAACGATCAGGGTGAGTCTGTAAAATATCCTACTGAAAATAGGAAGAAGAAATCTTGATATCGACAATTTAATCATGTCCTTAATCGAAGATACTTTTTTCATGTCTGTTTCTTCATCAACACCACTACAATTAACAAAAATCTTTAGAAAAGTTCGTCAATTTTTTTCCATGCTTGTTCCTTTTGGAAAGCTGAAACTTTTGTAATAAATACATTCAACAGTATTCCATCCGAATTCTATCAGAACTAAAAGATTCCCGTTTCGTACGATAAAATTTCTCTTCAGTTGCGCTAGCCGATGAACAATTAATCTAATGATTAACGTTTCTTAGATGGCATGATGGACTGTTCTGACAGCGAGTGTTGCTCGCACGTAGCTTGCGCAGAGCATATCATGTGCCTTACTAGTAATAATCCCGTGGACGTCCTCCTACGCAAACAACCGCCCAGCGTGACCGCGTCGTTTTATCAGCGCGTAAAATTCCTCGTTGAGGAAAACAGCGTGCAAAGCTACGCTCATATGAACGAGTACACCGAAAGGTAAGATCGATCACTTCTTCTCACACGGTTCTACATTCAGCCAGTTCAGTCTAATATTATAGATGAACGCTTAGTTGTATATACTTTATTTTTACGACGCCTTACAGGATAATTGCGTTAGGCGAGTGAGCTATTCGTTGTTATTTATACTCTTGAAGAAAATATATGTCTCAGCTTACTTGATTGGATTAAAAGATACCTAGACACTAATTAATCATAATGTATTGATCGTAACAAGGCGGGAACAAATAGAATGTAAAAATAATTGTTAAATTTCATCAGAGGTAATTTTTGTAAAGTTTCGTATCGGTTTTATAATTAAATGTAATCAAGCTAAAAATTGCTGGTGAATAAAAAAATTAAATTTTAATTGCAACGGTTGGCTCACTCGATAGTCGTCGATACACGTACCGTTTAGCAAACGAAAAGGAAAGAGGGAAAAAAGCAAAAGAAATATATAGCATAGCTGCGTGTCATAGTTTCTGGCCTTTTTACAATTTTCAAATGCGTTTGACATATTACGCGGCTGTTACTTTCCTCGTTTTCATCATCCACGAGAACTGCGCAGATCATTGATTTCATTCAGAGAAATGTTTTTTTGTTTGTCCGTGATACGTTTCATATAAAATAGCCCGGGAATACGTATACCTACATATGTGCAGTTCGTGTCACATAGTTCATGCAAAAAAAAAAAAGGAAAAATAACAAGAACGAAGAATCGTATCATTCGAAAAGCAAACGTTTGATCGCACACAAGTGATGGTTCCGTCGAAGAGTTTTGTTTACGTAGCTCATTTTTTATCGACGTTGCTTCACGATGGGGTAGAATGCAAAATACTGCACAAATATCTTTTGTTTCGTGATAACAGTTTGACATAATCAAATTATCGAATTATTGAAATTTTTTATAAATTCTTCGCAAACGTTGCATCATTTATAAAAGCATAACAACCGTTAAATAAGTCTACTTCAATTTTTCAAACATGTGTCGAGAGATTGTAGAGAATATACTATGCAGTACAAACAAAACTCTTGAATAAAGTTCAATTTTTTTCATTTAGTTAATGTTTTCCCCATCGTGAGCGATTTTTCAGTGACCAAAAGAAAGTAAAGAAAAAAAAAACATTCAATCAGATTTACTTGCACCGCCATGACAAACAATCCGGTATATCCGTGACAGCTGAATTATCAAGAGAGCCCCCGGTGGGTGACAACCCTGCCAACCCTCTAACCATCCTACTCCTCGTGTTTCACCCCCTCCCTCCCCCGAATGCCGAACACGTCAGTGATCATCTCGGAAGCATTGTCGATCAAAGGAGGTACCACGCGCGCACTGTCTCTGATATTAATTACTTGCAATTTCGTCCTGTTTCATGCTAAGCTGAATCTCGCATCTTGGGAGACAAATTCAAAGGATTCCTTTCAACAAACACGTTTTTGATTTTCTAAACTCCGCTTTTGATATACACGAAATTCTCTTTGGAAATTCATTGCTATTTCAAAATTTTTGAACTGATGTAAAATGATTGCAACTTCCTTTGTATAAATTCATAATCTGAAGCAAAGTCGCATTTAATAAAATCTTAGTCCTTCTCTTATTAGAAATATTAATAAAACCATCGGATGAGATATGTTTTTTATTAAATAATATTTAAAGCGCAGAAGTACTTCTCTGTTGACGAGCATGCCCCTGCCTATAATGTATAAAAAAATAGCGAGATAAGGTAGCTGCGATAATACAACTCGCTAAGCCTGACTTAAGGGAATAAAAGGGTGCAAGATAACTGGACGGTCAACGTCCTTTGTTTGACACTGATGAAGATTTGGTCGGGACGTGTCGGCCGACGGATCGGCCGCCGAGTGCATTTCGGGGGATTCGTGTATTTTGTCTAGTGTTTATCCTCTGTGTGTACCCTTGCCACCACCAGATCACCATTCACCCTACAGCCGAAGACCGAAAGAGGCTCCGTTCTACGTACAGACTGTGAACCAAAAACGAAAAAGAGAAAAAGAAAAAGAAAGGAATAAGAAAGAAAAAAGTCTGCACACGGAGAAATCGTTCGAGACTCGATTTTTGGTATTTTCGATCGGTTTACAGCGAAGTTATGTTCCACGCGTGATGTTTTTCTATTGTACAGCTTCCAGGCGTTGTTTCGTTTCAACAACCAATACTAATAGAATATAATTCACGAACGGTAACGCGTTAAGCAGACCGTGTCGTTTTCCAAATTTCTCTTGTGACTTACCAGCTATTTCGGCTATTTATTTAAGCAGTTCACCGACAATGAGAGATTCATAGATAAAAAGCGCAAGGGGCGTGTCGAATTGCGGTATTCGCTTGAAATTAAATTTCTGTTTAAAAAAAAATCTTGGTTGCACGCAGCATTCGATATTTCAGACGTATTAACAGCGAGAAAGATTTGAACGTGACGAATTCCGGGAATCGATCGCCCCCGAGTAAAATTATTTCTAGAGATGGTAGACACAAGTTTGAAATCTGTCGCTATTCGGTCGCTTTCCCTGCACGTATAGGAAGTTCTCCACGTCGAATGGAACATTCTGCATATGGTACACGACGGTACTGTGCGTGTTCGAGAAAGAGACGTTCGGAGAGCAGAAGCGGAAGTTTGTTTGGCCCTGTTGTCGAGTCCATTGTTTCGCCACAGTATTGATTACCGACTTTCTCGGAGTACTCTTGCCGCCTGCTTGAAATGTATCTTCGATCGACCGGAATAAAACAGTTTTTATGTATTTTATGTACGTAACAGTTCCGCTCGAATCTACAAGCGATAAGTGCGTTACACTCTTCGTACTTCCATTTCGAAAATACATGATGATTTAAATTAACAAACATTTTAAGAACTTCAGATGTTCTAATTACACTACAGTTAATGTAAAATAAAAAAAAAGTAATGCTCAAAGTAATTCGGAATAATAGAAATCTCACTTGCATCTGACGTTATAGAAATATGCGTTAGATCAGTCTTAGTTTTGAGGGGCATAAGGTTTGAGGTCCATTCTTTTTATAGGCGGAAGCCAATCCTGTTTCTTTAAACATTGCGTTTTTATTCCTGATCTGATAGAAAGGACTTATTTTTCATTGAATGAAAGTAAATCTATTCTAACTCATTTTCTTCTATCACCAAGCCAAGTAAGCAAGTATTCATGCGACCTGTTTTAGGTAGCCTATTCTGTTCTCGACCCTTCACTAAATGCACCCGAATCGAAACATTAGTAAACCAAGTGATCGTTTCGCGTCGCGAAAAAGTAGAAAATGTGTTCTCAATGAGACGACGTAGGGAGAACAGTGGTTCGTTCCCTTATGCGAATGGAATCTCGAGCGGACAGACGACATATACATATATATATACAAGTGTCCCGGTGAATCAGAAATTCAGGCTGGCGTCGGGATTGCTCGGACAGCGTAATCAATATTCGAAGATCGTCTGCCGACATAGCAGTCCAGGCTCCGATGGAATCTCGTCTCATTGTCAGTCCCGGAGCTCGGGCTTCGACGACCGACGCGATAAGAGGATCCTTCGGAGCGGCCGCCCCGTTACTCTCTTGACTCCTCGATACGAGTCGAATCTCGAGTCGACGTCGACGTCGACGTCGAGAATGCTGAATTCCTGAACGAAACGACGGCTCGTGTCTCGTTAACGCGCGTCTACTACTGTGTACCCCCGTGGTGTCTCGGATGCATCGATTCACGCGAAGATGCCGGAAGCTCTCCATCTCTTTCTCTCTTTACTCTGTCTCTATATTACATTTTACATATATGGACACCAATACATATCTATATATATACATACCAAATATATATATATATATATATATATATATGCATATATATATATGGCTCGTGTATAATCGTATATACACATATATATTTACAGATGTGTGTGCGTAGTTTCCAACTTGTGTCTGTCACGTGTATTACCACTCTATGTTGAATGAGTCTGCGAGTGACTGAGTTCATGTTGCGTGGCTGACGAAGATCGCGTGTATGATGGGTATGCTTGATTAGTGTGTGTCTACGTCTATTGTTTCTGTAAAACGGCGTGCGGAACATTGCGATGGAGCCATTCGATTTTCGCCGCGAGTCTATTGCGAGTATAATGTCGATACCTTAATTTCGAAAATAAGATACCGTTGGGACGTGTCGTAAAGGAATAGGGAATCGTCTCTGAAGAGCAACCGTCGGTCAAGACTCTAGCTTCGAAATTCGTATTGGACGTAACGAGGTACGCGAAATTTCAAATTGAAAGTGTACAAAAGGAAAATTAGAACGATGCGAAAAGGCAATTGCTCGCGCAATGCTGCGTACGCGCGTCCGTTTTTTTGCCCGCAAACGCGGGTTCTGTGACCGTGGTAACGCCCTTTCTTCTCGTTGGTTTTTTCCCACACGTAGTACGTTCTGGAGTTCCTTTACACCGCGGTAAGTTGCAGCTCAAGCTCTCTCGCTAATCGTTCATTAATCCAAAAAAATATTTTTTTTTTTTTAATGAAAGAAAAAGAAAGCAAAAAAAAAACGCTCGTAACAATCATCTTACATGTTTTTTCGTATGTCCCATTATATGTAATCTATCTATATATGTATACGTATGTTCATACCCTTAGCCTGCCATCTCTCTGTCTCTTTCTCGCTCTCGCTCTGTTTCAGATATTCTTTTCCTCTTTATTTGTTTAAATTTTTCTTTTGTTCTCTAAATATTTCTTCTGTTGTATAATTCAAGATTCAGCCTCTTATCGATTCTATTTACGTTCGTCAAGTATGTTTAATCATACTTTGCTTATTTTATTTTATTATTTTGCCACTCGAGCCCTCTGTACCCTTCTAATGCCTGTTTCTAATCTTTTCTTTGGTCTTTCTTTCGCTGCTTCAGTTTGCGTTGTTACTTTATTGCTATCTTTCTCTTTTTGTTTCTCTCTCTGTCTACCTATTACCCACCCGTGTATCTGTTTTTATCATCTTCGACCCCATGGCTGCCGCTTGGTTCACGCAAGAACGAATTTCGATGAATTTTCACCGAGCCAGCTTCGTTATTTCACCGATATAGGGAATTGGAAATTTACATCCATTTGTTTAGCAATCGAATTTGGCCGTGCAGTAGTGGCAGAATTCAAAACCTAAATCGCATTTATCTCGCCTTTAATCTAGGGGACTTTGTCCGATCAGTAACAAAACAAATCTACTTTATCTGATACCTTCCACCGAAAGAGAATTCGCGTTTAATATTGATCGCGAATCGATAGGGAATAAAGCCACAGCCAATGGGTCGCGCTCTCTCTGTCTCTGTCTCTTTCTCTCTCTCTCTCTCTCTCTCTCTCTCTCTCTCTCTCTCTCTGTCTCTTTTCATACCTACATTAAAAAGTTCAGTCGTATCGAATTGTTTCTGTGTTATCTGTGATATGTCGTCAGATGATTGTTGTCTATAATTCCCCGCCGTTGTCCGCCCTTCTATCTCTGTTAATTTACGTTCCTTCTCTGTTGTTCTGTTCTATCTGTATTGTCATCTTGTCTCCGTTTTAGCGCTCAGTTCTTAGCTACTACAATTCGTTGCCCCTGTTACACTATTGTAATCGATCAAACCCATGTAATAGTATGTTTGAGAATCGTGTACTTTTTTACGTAACGATATGTACAACCTGTCTGGTCTTGTGTTGTATTTTGTGTTGCCAGGCTTGCACTTTTTTATGTACGTCGTATATCTCATGACCCCCTTCATCCTTGTCAAATTTGTCTTTAGTGACTTCTCGTCCCCATCCTCTGCAACTTTACACTGAATGTTGACTTTGTTGCGCGCCTATTCTTGCGTTCCATTTTTCTTTCGTTCAATTGTTCCTTTTCCGTCGTTTATACATCATTATAATAATATATGCGTAGAGAAGATACAGTCGCATAAAATCAAATTGAAATGTAACAATTGTACACAGAGGTAGAAGAGTACAAGACGATTTAAAAGGAGAATGAAAATGAAAAAGCAAAAAAAAAAAATGAAAATGTGTTCACGTCAACATTTCGATTGTTCCGAATCAACGGATCGGCAATAATTACAAAATCGGAACTGTTTAACACACAACTTTATAATACATGATATGAAACGAAAGACCTATAAGACCGATCCCTCCCTTGTCCCTTGTCTACGTCTGTTACAACCTGTCTACAATGTGCCAACAACCTCGTTTTACCAAAGCCCTGTGTCTGTCTTTAACCGATCCGTGCTATCTACCCACCGAAAAGTATATTTCATACCAGAACACGACAGAAACCCTCTTTTTCGAGAGAATCGATTCGTTTAATAATCATTCCAAAGCCGGAAATGATCTATCTTATGAGAAAAAAAAAAAATACCGTCGTAAATCCCGTTCCATTGACGACGTATAATTCGCGAATTCAGCGTAATTCAATTTTATAGACAATATTATGAGAGAAAAACAAATCATTTGATCGTTTGAACACAAGCTTTTATATTTGCAAACGGTATATACATAAATCGCGCTATCTAAAATACAGAACAGTTTCGAAAAAGGAAGGTAGAAAGAGGAAAGTCGCCTGAAAACTCGCGCGGGTGGAAGAGAAAAGTGGCGCAACTAGAGATAATAATTCCGTCGTTCGCGCGCGCACAGTGAGAAGGAGAAAAATTTTTGTAGCAACGAGAGACAGAATTCGGCACTACATCGGAGAATCGCGAAATTTCTTTATCACCGTCCGTTCTTTAATTTTCATTATTCTTTTTTTTTACTATTTTTCTCTCTTCATTTCTTTACGTTTCCATTATTCAATGTTAGATAAGTGAAGATTTAATATCGTCATTTTTGAAAGATGTCTTAATCTGTTTCCAGATATTTTTACATATATGAGAAATATACATATACAGGGTGTCTTATCATCGATAGTATAAGCGAGGAGGGTATTACATGAAGAAATGTTGTGAATAAGAAATGAAATTATTTCTTTACAGTTTTGTTTTCGAGAAAATCAGCTTTAAATATTGCCCGACTACTTGTACATTTAATTACAACGTGCTTAAACAACTCTCGATACAACAGATACGTTTTTTATGAATCACTATTAATACTATATGTAATGTTCATTCGTTATTAATACAATGTTATATATTTCTGTGTGCTTAACATAAGCTTATTAACGAAAACAAGATGTATAATTTTAAAGATTTTATCTAATTATTACAGAACTTGTCGAAAATGCTGCCTACAGTACTGCACACACAACTGTGCTCTGCAAATTAGATTCCAAAATAGTTTGCGTTTTTAACCCGTTAAATATAAAAATGATGAAAATATTCAGAGCTGATTTTTTCGAAAACAAGCTTTAAGCGAATAAAATGTTTCTTTATCGTTAAGTTAATTTTCTTGTAAAATCGTTCCCTCTTCGTTTATAATGCCGATATTGGAACTTTACGTATTACACCATGTGTTTACGTATATGTATATCCGTTTCTCGATCTTCTTTTCGTTTCGTTCTTTTTATCCGGTTCTAATTCTTGTTTTTGCGTTTCCTTTTTATACCGTTCACTATGGTTTCTTACTTTTTACCAGTAGTGACGACTGTACCTGCCACCTTGCTGTGCTCGTACTTGGAGGATCAGCACAGCCCGGCAATGTTTGATCCTCAAGTTGTCGAACGAACAAGAACGGTGGCACGGTGCGCACTAGTAAAAGTGCAAGATCTCGCCCGGTCTCCGGCGCGATGTTTCCGATCGTTTGTCCATGCGGACATGTCTATACGATTTTTGCTTCACGGGGGAATGTGCGATCCTCCAAGAACGAATCATGCCCCCATACGCAATCCCTTAGGGACAAATGAATATTATACATAAGTACTTATTTACTTACTTATACATACATTGAACGCATCTACGCAGCTTGGTCAATAAGTAAAAATATAACAATCAATAGGAAAAACCTTTGTGCCTTTTTAAGATTTTCAAAAATCTTCGTTAATTACGATTATAAATTATTATTTATCATTCCATAATTTCTTCTATCATTCAATTATTTATAATATATATTATTATCATTCAATTATTTAATATATGTCTAAAAAGAATTTGTCTACACATCCTTTAATTAAATAATTGAGTTACAACTTCAAGTCTATAGTACTTACATATAATTCATATAATCTTAAAATGTCGAGTTGTAACATTTTACTTGCGTACGTGTTGCGTAAATTACGAATACTGATTCGAAGTATATTAATACAATAAACAACCTGATGGCTCGTTCAACAAAAAGTTAAGTATAATAAGCTGCGTACATATGCGTCCGATACGATGTATATTCTCTATATATTATTATTATCATTATTATTATTATTATTATCTTACCTACCTACATCGATCTCATTATATTCAGCACTACACACAGATCGCTTAAAATATTCAGCTTAAACATACTCCAACTTTTTACATATATCGCAGATAATCCAGCCCTGAGACTTACTACGTATATACATATTTTTTCATTGCCTTTATTACGTATATCTATTACATATATTTATACATGATTATATATGCATGCCAGTTCTACTCTCACGAAAGTTTACCACAACCCCCGCCCTCTTTTTTTTTATTATTATTACTACCTGCCTCGGGACGATCGTGTTCTTTTCTGCTCCCGAATTGACAATACTGCTCGATACTTTAAAAGAAAAAATTACAAGTACCCTTATAATCAAGCCATGAAAAAAAAAGACAAAACCTTTAAGAATGCAACCATAAACAGAAACCATGCAAATTGCAAGAAAGTGAATGTGACTAAAAAAGAAAATGTTCTCGCGCCGCTGCCAATACCTATACGCGTGATGCTCCGAGCACGGTCGATTGGGAAAATCGACGCCCGGCGACGCTACGCGCCGCGCTGCGCCGGCGCCATCCAGAAAGCGGGTGCGTACACACGGCGTCGCGCATTGTTCCGTTTGCAAAATCAATTTGTATCGCTTCTGGATTCGACCAGTGGCATTAGCTCCTCTTGTGCAGGTTAATGCGGCCGGTGAATGCGGATTCGAATGGAGTTGCGGATTGTATTGGCAGCGAAGTGAGAATATTGGATCGCATTGAACCGTTGACCGCGGAAGCTGATTTGACAGACAAGATCGATTGTTCGCGCTCTAGACGCCCGTGCCCTTAGGATACATGTTGCACGATCTATTTCAGTCGCGAGAGAACAACCTTTCCCTTTCCATTAAATACGATTTTCATTTAATATCTGGAATTTAAAAGTATATGGAGATGGATGGTTTATTTTTTTAAAATAGAATGATCTCTTTTATTCCTTCCTGTACGTCGACACGTTTTATTATTTCTGTTCGATACTCGATACGGTGCGCGAGTCTTCGGATCAGCGTTTCGCGGCTCAACGGATCAACGATACGATCCGACCTCGAGAGGCCACGATATATTTTTTATTTGTAACAGTCGAGTTGCGGTGATGCGAGGCCAAGTTGTTACCGAACAAGGAATCGGAATAGTAGGCATCAGGGTGTCCGTCGACAGGGACCCCCGCTTTGGATTCACGTTAACCAGAGCTGATGGATGGTGAGTACCAATTTCATTACTTAAATTCTTCCTAATGCGATATTTAGAAAATATAAAATACAGGTATTCGCAATCAAGCAGTAAAATGTTATACGAGATTAAGTAATCAGGTAATCGAAATTAAATCTCGATCAGAAAGGGAAGTCAAGTACATTCTCATAGATACTAAAACGTTTGCAAACATATGCGTGACATTAGTATTTGCACATGATGGGCGTGCACACCAGCTTCTGTCCTTCGTAATAGGATCAAGGCTGCATTGTAATGAAGGGTATGGTATGGTATTGGACGAAGGTGTGGGTAGATGGTGAAACACCTATATCAAACAGGTAATCCTGGCGAGGATAATCCTGAAACACGGAGCTAGAGGAGTTGCCCCGGTAAACCACATCAAAGCCCGAGCTAATGATGTCGAAAGCTTCCTAATTACTCCGTGCAAACCTGTGTGATTAGTCTGACCTACGTCTACCCCCCCCCCCCCCCCCCCCCCCCGGGAAAATCAGA